GTATTTTTTAAATAAAAAAAAAATTTTGAATTTATTTACTTGTAGCCAGAGTTAGAGGTGGTCGGATACTTATGACCGCTACTGTAAAAGTTATTAGTATTTATCTTGTTAGTGATAAAGACTTATTGAATTCTAATAACTATTGAAAGGTTTTAGAAGATTATTTACCAAAATTATCTATCTTTAATCTAATTTAAAAGCTATTTTATATATATTAAATTCACTAATATAAATAAATAAAATACTGATTGATTACAAATAATAAATGATTAATAATATAAAAGAAATTTTTAACATCTTTTGAATTTTTCATATAACTTTTATTTAATAAATTTCTTTTATTTTTATTGTCTTTATTATCTAATATGATATAGTCAATATGCTTTTTAATCATATATATCATAGTATATTAGCTGATCTTTTGAATTATATCTTCCTATTACAATACAAAGTGTATAAAGAATATTTATTATCATTAAGGATAAATAAAATATTAAACAATTAATATTTAAAGAGTAATATTTATTAATATGTATATTTTTATAAATTTATAAATAAAAATATTTAATTTTTAATACTTTAAATTATTTATTGAATTTTTATAAAAATTTATTATAACTTAATTTTTATTTTCTTTACTTAATAATTTATTTATATAATTTTTTCAGTTTAAAATAAAAATATATTATTTTATATTAATTTATGTTTATTAAAAAATTATATAATATTTATTAATTTTAATAAAATTAATAAATAAATAATATATTATTTTTTATATTTTTCTTAATAATATAATTAATATATAATTATTTTATTATCATTATTATTGAGTTTAATTAATATAAAATCTAATTATTTTAATTTTAAATATATTGATTTTAATTTTTGTATTATAATTTTTTTTATTAATTTATCTATTAAATAATATTTATTTTTTTTGTAAGTCAATTAAATCTAAATTAAAGTATAAAATAAAATTATTATTTTTTATTATAAATGATCAGAATTTTAAAATCTATATTAATTTAGTAATAAATTTTATTAAAAAATAATAGTATTTTTATTTTTAAAAAAAAATTTTAAATATTAATTTATTAATTAATATTTATCTTATAAGTTTCAATTAAAAAATTTATAAAAGTTATATAATTAAAGTAAATTTATAGAGATAATTGTTTTAATATTTTTTATAAATTTTTTAAATTGTATTATTAATGAAAATTTTTGAAATTTATATCAATGTTTTTTAAAAAAATATTATTAATTGTTTAAGGCTATTTTATTAATTTTTTAGCTGATTTGATTCAAACAAACAAGTTTTATTTTTAATATTAATAAAAATAAGTTCTTGATTATATTATAAATTTAATTAAAAATAATAGCTAAAAGCATTTATTGTTTCTAATAATATTTTATTTCTATTAGTATAGTTACTAATATTTCATTTTAAAGATATTTTAATAAGAAAATTTTAAATAGTAGATCTCAAATAAGATCATTTACCTTAAAAATTATGCAAGTTATGTTACGCTAGACCAAATGATGGATGGACTCTACGTGATAAATGCGCCACCAGTCAAAGAATGTCAATTATTATTTATTAAATATTATTCAAACGTTTCTCGTACATATTGATTAAATAGAGCAATGATTACATTTAATATTTGAATTAAGTAAATGACGGGGATATTACACATATTAATAAAAAAAAAGGTTAATTATCAGAAATACCAGAAATATATCCATAATGGACATTGTTAGTATTTACGATTGTCTTTCATCATAAAATATTAATCTTTTTCATGAACAATAATAATAAAAAGATAACATCAAATTTCTAAATTCATGTTGATGACGTTCTATCAAAATTAAAAAACATTTGGTATGGAGCTAAAATTAAATAACTAATTTGTAACTGATCCTCTTCAATAGAGGACAGCGATAGTCTATATCAACGTCTTCAAAGCTTTCCAACATCTCATTATATCTCTACATATTAATATATAATTAATCGTCATGATGATGATAAGGTCCATTCGGTGAATGAAAACCGGGTGGTGAATTCGAAGAGAAAATAAAAGATTCGAGTTGATGCTTTGCAGTCTGGGGGTCTTTTGAAATACTGACCAATCAAAAAAATAAATTTATTCTCAAGAAAATTATAATATAAATAACTTATGAAAGATTCTTACTGTGTAGTTTGTTTGAATTTAAATTCATCATTGTCACTTAAAAAATATCTGGGTCTCCAATCAATTCCTTCGGCTTCTCGAAGCTTGGCTTCATTACGTTGATTATCTTCGATCAGCGTTTTTTCTTCCGTAGCGAGATCCAGATTCCTCCCTATTAAAGCATTTGTAACTTTTGACCATAAACTACACAACAAATTTATAAATCTTAGATCCTACAATATATTTATATTTATATTTATGATTATATTGTGGAAAGATTTACCGTCGGGATTCATTTTCTTCTTGTTCTTCCTCTGGGGACACAATCTTTGGATATATCTTAGATTCGTGAACATTAAATAAAACTTCTTTAAGTCCCGTCTAACATTTTAAATCAATATAATTATTAATGTGATATAAATCATCATGAGTTATAAATTTATAATTTACCCGAAGATCCTTAATATACATAATGTCTGACCACTTTCCGGTAATTTCATATAGAGACTCTCCTGTTGATTCACGTTTTATCTTTCCGTAAATCGAATTGTACGCGCCCGTAAAGAAACCCTTATAAAATAAAATAAAATAAAATAATATAGAAATTTTATTAAGCGATACATAATGGGATTTAATGATTATTCAAAAAATAAAAATCAAAAAATAAAATAAAATTAAATAAAAATAAATTACCTTTGTCCGAAATTCTAATTCACAAACCAAATCATTCTTTTCACATTTAACCGTAGAATTATCACCTAATTCTAATACCATCCTCCCAAAAAGAATACCCCGTGCATAAACATTTGGCATTGCAATCCGATAAACTTCACCGGGACGATTAGTGAAGAAGATTTTGGATTCACCCTGCATCAAAGTTGCCGCACTATTCCCGAGGAATTTGGATTTTGGTCGTATATCTCCAGCGATAATTAAGTTATTTTCGGGGCTTGCATAATAATAAGCTGAAATTGGAGGATGATGAGAAACTTGTTCAGATACAAATAAAGCTTCTGTATTATCAGGAAATTGCCATCGTGCACGAAAGTGTTCGCCTAATACGGGGTTATAGGGTTTTTTTACACCCTGTAACGAAAAAATTGTTTATTATAAAGTTCCTTGCTCTCGAGAATTTATGAAATGATCCGTACCTTTGGTTTTATATGCCATCCAGATAAGTAATACCTCATCACATTAACAAACCGTTTAACAGGGTCTTCTTCCTTTGAGACACTATAGACAATATTTTGATATTTTAACATTAGGTGCGCAACTTGAAATTTCACCAAGCTGACCTGCTCGGTAAGGAAGTGTTCGAACGCGGTTCTGCTAGTATATAATATCTTGCAAAGCACATACCTTAAAATCAATTCAGGATGGCTCATAAAATCGGTGATCCTTTCTAACATACTCCGTGGTTCTAATACAAATGTTGGCAAGGTAACTCGATGCAAGTCCATTCCCTTGCGCAATTGCGAGATGAGTCCCAGCAAAATGCTACGTGGTTCTTCATCAAGAACTTCTGTATCGTTGCAAAGCTCTTCGTCAGCCATTTATATAATATTAAAGTTATAGTTTTTTCAAGAAATATCTTTATCCTTTAAAACAAATGTTTAAGTACTGCGTCAGCGCCAAATTCCTTATAAATTTGATGATGTAGTATGAACACGATTGACATCGAACTTAAATATGAATTTATTTCATTCGCAGGCAGATTTATCAAATATTAATTAGTTTACAAACCTGTATAATTTTTTATATTAAAACTTTATATTAGAATCGTATAAAAAAATAAATTACATATTAAAATTAAAAAAATATTTTTTTTAATAAATTCGATTCATTTTTTATTTTTCATTATTTTTTAAGATATAGAATTATTGCTAAATTATATATATATTATATTAACTAAATATATTTAGATAAAATATTTTAAATACAACCTAAATTATTTTATAAATATCAAAAATTAAAAGTACATATAATTACAATTGTAATTGAATAAACATATTATAAATATATTTAACATATTTAATATTCTTAATATATTTACTAGTAAATATATCATTATATATAATAATAAAAGCATATAGGATTTGTTATTAATAATATAGATAACTATTTTTGATATATATATTTTTTTAAGTATAAATTGTAATAGCTATATGCATTTTACTTTTAGTTAGCTAAGGTTTTTCTATTTTTATAATTTAATAATTGTATAAATTCCTTTAGTTATTTATTATTATATATATCCATTTTAATATTTATATATTTTTTAATTTAATCTGATAGCTATATGCATTTTTTACTCTTAGATAACTAAATGCTTCTCATATTTTTGAAAGTTATTTTTAAATTTTCTTATTTTTTTCTTTTATTATCTTATTTTTTTTTATTTTTTATTTTATAAATTAATTATAATATTATGTAAATTCTATTAAAAAAATATTTTAAAATTATTATAAAATATATAAAGTTTTAATAATACTTTATAATATAATTATAATTGATTAAATTATTATATAAATTTTAAAAAAGTTTACCTTTAAATATAATGTTTAACTATTATATAATTTATAAAGATTACACATTTAATATTAATATTCTATATTTATTGTTATATTTTATAATTTATAATATAATTTTTTTATATAAATTTAAATTTAATTTATTAAAAAAATCATATTAATAAATAAAATAAGATTAATTTTTTTTATATATATACTGATCAAAATTATCTAAATTATCTAAATTGGCTAAAATTAGATAGCTGATTTTAAGCTGATTTAAAATTACTTACAATTAATTTGCTATATTTTTTAATTGATGCTGATTGACTCCAATCATACATATTTATTCAACATTATAGATGAGGACAAAACTCCTTAATAACAGTCGAAACTTAGACGAAACTATATTAAAATTATAATAAGGAATACGATAAAACCCATTCGATACGACAAAAGCAAAACTGTTGAAACTATATTAAAAACATAGAAAAGGGTATGACGAAATTATTTTGAGAAGGTTTTGGCAAGCATCTATATTCAACATTAATTTAAAGTTAAATTTAATCATAAATCAACCTAAAGTATCAATTAATATTATTTAACTTTAATCAGACAAGCAATCTAGTATCAATTAAAATTTAAATAACCATAAATCAGCTTAAAATTAGTTTTAATTCAGTATCACTTTAACAATAAATCAGTGTAAAATACTATTAATTAATACTGATTAACTTTAATTAGATAAGCAATTCAGTATCAATTCATTTAAATAAGTATATAAAATCAGTACATTTTAATTTAATTAAATTTATTAAATATTAAAATTTTATTAATAATAAAAACTAAATATAAATTTTATAAATAATATAACAAAAATATTACTAAATCTATTGATTAAATTTTTAATTAAAAATAAGTAAAAAATAATATAAAAATAATATAATAATAAAAATATAATCAATTTTTCTTACAAAATCATTAAAAATCATTCTAAATATAAATAAATAAATAAAATAATAAAATAATATAAAAAATTAATTATTCTCTCCTAAAATCACTTAAAAAATGTAAAAATAAATAATAAAATAATAGAAAAGTAGAAAAATCAACTTTAAAATTATCTTAAAATGTATTAATAAATAATAAAATAATAAAAATGGATTTATTTTCTTAAAATCACTAAAAATCTAATAATAAATAATAAAATACTATAAAATTAATACTTCTTCTAATATTATATAAAAAATATAATAATAAATTGTAAAAATTAAACCTTTTCCTTCAAATTTTCTAAAATTCATTAGTCATCATCTATAACAAAATCTTCTTTGTCTTCACTTTCAATAGCAATAAAATCCTTTCTGATTTCTATACATTCTTTATTTTCTATACGTATTTTTTATTATAATAATATTTACTTTAATTTTAATATAATAAATTATGTTAAGTTACATTTTATATAATTATTTTAGAATATTAATAATATATGATCAGTCATAACTTTGTATTATTGTTGTATTTTTATTTTCATTACATATAAGATGATAATGCAAAATTAGGATTAAGTATTTTTCTGAAAAGATATTTTAGCTAAAAGAAAAAAATAAGAAAAAATATTAGTGAATTATATTAAATAATTCAAAAAATGCTAAATTAGATAAAAAAAATAATAAACTTTGACTAAATATTATATACAATAATAATAAATTTTTGGTAATTTTTTTATCTATTTTGCTGATTTTTAGTAAATGATATTAGTAATTATTGAATATTTAAAGTAAAAGTCACTGTTTATATTTCATTATTTATTTATCATTTTTTTTGAACAAATATTTTTTAGCCTTTACTTGCTAAGCTATTTTTAATAAATAATAATAAATTATATTTATTAAATGAGTTAAATGAAGAAATATAATCATTTTTATTTTATTATTTCTCATTTTTATATAAGTAATTTTAATAAAAAAACTCTTTCTGAAAAATAAAAGTATTATAAAATATAAGAAACTATAAAACTAACTAACATAATTTATAAAATATAAAAAAAAATAAAGGCAAAATAATTTTTATTTTTTAAAAACTACTAAAATTTCAGAAATTAGGTGAAAAAAAGAGAAAGATTTTTCATTTTTGATTAATTTAAAATAGTAATTCAGTAATCAATTAAGTTATCTTATATTATTTATATATATTATCACCATAGAATTCTTCAACTTGAGGGGGTCATGTTATCAAGTCTCTACTCAAAATTTCTTAACTACGGCTTATTGCGGTCAAGACGTTAGGATTCGCCTAACTCTTAACTTTACCAAATCTACGCGTTGAACTTAAACAAATCTATCAAGTATGAAGACTTGAAAGAC